CAAGTTTATCATCTATTTAATAAGAGTGCTCTGGTTATCAAGTTTATCATCTATTTAATAAGAGTGGCTCTGGTTATCAAGTTTATCATCTATTTAATAAGAGTGGTCTGATTATCAAGTTTACTACCTATTTAATAAGAATGGTCTGGTTATCAAGTTTATTACCTATTTAATAAAAGTGCTCTGGCTATCAAGTTTATCACCTATTTAATAAGAGTGCTGTGGTTATCAAGTTTACAACCTATTTAACAAAAATGTTAAGGTTATCAAGTTTACAACCTATTTAACAAAAATGTTAAGGTTATCAGATTTTTCACCTATTTAATTAAAGTAATTGGATATTAGGATATTATAAGAGATCTTGGATTAATAGCTTTCTTAAATTCTAAAATCAAAAAATGCCATAATTTATACATGCTTCATATTATTCAACAAAATGATGTTTAGTTACACTAATCATTACACTGAGTTACACTAACAATTACACTGAGTTGCACTAATCATTATGTAGAGCTGTACTAGTCATGATTTTGGGCTATACTAATTATTTTGAGTTTCAATAATCATGAAGTTGAGTCACACACTAATTATTATTTTGAGTTACATAAATCATTATGTTGAGCTGTACTAGTCACAATGTTGAGTTACACTACTAATTGAGTTATACTAGTCATGATTTTGAGTTACACTAATCATGATACATCTATTCCTAAATTTTCTTGTACTTCACAAAAGCATTACAGTGTTTTATATTCAGAAACACAAAGCATAAGTTTAGAAGAAAATTAACCAGATATTATTTAAAACCATATACTTCCTTCATAAGTAAGTTATATTGTTCAACACAGATGTTTTTTGCTACATACCTTCAGTATAATTACAAGCTGCAGTTAGAGCTCGACAATGGTTTACCAAGGCTGACCTAGTTACAGTTACACCTTTCATAGAACCATCTTTGTCAACAGTGTACTAGAAAGAAAGAAAACAAGATCTGTCACCTAACCACTGGCAATAGTTATTTCTATGCTGTTAGCATTGTTGTTATGATTAGATGAAACACAGACTATAATAAAATCAATATTTAAATGCTTTGGAGCAGCTTAATATTTTGGAAAGTAAAAACATATTAATTAATTATATAATTATTAGAATTCAATTCAAACCTCTTCAAACCTAAAGTTAACAGTTTTTAGTGTATCATCTAGCAATTTATGTACATATTTGTATTCATGTGGAATGTGTATAACCTATATTAAAAAAAATACATTTCTAACAAATATGGAAAATATCTGTTGCTAACATTGTAGAAGTTTATCAAGAAGACGATGTATTTTTGATAAAATTTACAATAGAAATCAACTTTCGATATGTTGTGTTCATAAAAGAACACAGGTTTATTAATACCTTGAATCCTACAAAAGAATATTTTAGTCTGACCCAAAACATCATTGATAAATTTGTTGTTTATTTTAGTGTTTTGTGCTCAGCTGTATCAGCTAATCTAAATAGTCAGTTTAGCAGGATAAATGCAGAATATAATAAAATTTGGCCAAATCAAACTCTTTAATGAACGAGACTGTTACAGCTGTTGTAACTATCTTTTATCAACCATTAATTAATATTCAAACATCAGTGTTCCAATGTTAACACGAGAGTATTGCATTATTAACAAGTTACCCAAACAAGAGTGTTAACATGTTATCTAAACATGATTGTTCCATTGTTAAGATGTTACCCAAACACAAGTGTTGCATTATTAACACATATTCTCTCAGAAAACCATTCAAAGACACAAACAACATTTTTGGGATACCTTGAAAACATTTAAATGTTATAATGCACATGATTAGAAGATAGAATTTTTTTTTTTAATATATATATATATATATATATATATATGTGAAACCATATGTGCCAAATGGTCTTAATTACCTATATGTGATAAGTCAGCACATATTGCTAATAAGGAAAGCATCAAATTGTTTACTCCATAACATATTATATGACAAAAAATAATAAATTGTTTCTTTACAATGTGCCTTACAGCATCTCCCTAACTAGAAAAGATTGTTTACTCACTTCTATGTAAGCAGTAGCCTCATCTGATAATTTAGGTGGAGGCATCCAGTCTTTCTGGGGTCTACTTAGATGATCTGTGATAAACCAGTGTAGATTTGGCCAGCCTATGAACCAATGGTTAATGTGTATTCATTTATTACATGCAATAACCACAGTTTAAGTTTGTGCAAAAACAACAATTTTTAGTTGTCAAATCTTAAGAGTGTTTAAAATGTACATGAAATTTAACTATGAAATTGGAGTAAAATATGGCATTCAAAACCATATTAAACCTATAAATGAAATGTTAGAAGAATCAACAATAAAATCAAATCAAAAATAATTTATTCAGCATATATATGCAAAATTTTACTATGAATATTAAAGGAAATAATGAAATGCCTATTAAACCTCAAGTGTTACAACCTAGACATGTGCTTCCCAGACTGATGTCATATGCCAGATAGAAAATAAAAGCAAAACTTCTTGTAATGTTAACATTCTTCAATGTTGACACAAAAAACTTTTCTTTCAAAAATTGTTAAGAAATTGTTATAACAATCCTCATGTTATAAACAAAAGTGATTGTTAATAATTAGAATTATGTCAAACAACCATAACAATTCACATGTGAGCATTTGTAATTATTAAAAATTAGAATCATTTATAACAATACTTCTGAGAAGCAACAATTAAGAAATTAAAATGCTATAGCAATCCACATGTATTGTCTACATAAGTAATGTTGAAAATTAGAATCATGCTTAAAACAATCAATATGATTATAAAAATAAGTAATTGTTAGAAATTATAATCATGGTTATAATAATACACATGTATACAAATAACAATCCTCAAGTGCTATGAACACAGGTAACTATTCAGAAATTAAAAGTTATAGCAGTACATGCTGTGAACTCTGGTAATCAGTATTAGCTTTGGAAAAAAAAATGTTTTACATTAACATATCCTGTTTAGTTTTTATATACTATCAGGCTTGACCAAGCTGCACTGACCTCTAAAAGTATGGACCTCCCCTGCTGAAGTTTTAGGTAAGCCCTTGTAACAGGCTTCTGAAGTTAGTGCGAAGTTAACCCCACAATTTCCTAACAAGAACCCTATCTGCAATGAATCAGCATCCTGAAGATAAAACAAGTCAAGTTCATCTAATGCAGCATGTACAAAACAAATAAATTTATGTCAGATAAGAACAATCATTAGGTGAAATTTCTACACAATAAGAATTTTGATGTATTCATTATTTTCCATTGCAAAACTCCTCTAAGAATTCTAGCCAAAAGCATATATTTTCCTTTGTTAAAGTTGCTTCTAAGTGTAAGAAACATCAATCCACAATGATGCTAAGTTTACAATGAGATTATTATGCTATTTCAATAAAAATAAAAATTCTCAAGACTTGTAACAACTAGATTTCTCACCCCAAGTAATCTTGATCTTGGGGATGGCAGAAATATGATCATAACCTTTATCTCTAATAACCAGACTTCTTACCCTATATGATGTTGATTTTAATAACCATACAATTACAATCTATAGTTGTAATGACCAGACTTCTCACTCCTTGTGATCTTGATCTCAGAGGGCCACAGCCATGTGAACATATCTAATTAGAATCTCAAAACTGGTTATTTCTTGTTGTCAATTTTTTTCAAAACGTATGTAAAGAATATTCTTGTTATCAGTTTGAACTGTGAGTTACACATCCCAAGTGTTCATACAAGCAAAACTTCTAGCATCAACAGTTTGGAGAGAAGAATAAAAACTGTTAAATATAAATTTCTAAATGTCTACTGTACAGTGTAAAGTTAAAATTTGAAATCAGTAACTTCTAGTGGTGAGTTTTACTGATTCAGTTATTTGATGAAAAAAAAATTCTATGTTACCAATAAATTCAATTTTAAATAAAGTGTCTAAAAATGATTAAACACATCTTAAAATATAGAAAACAAATAAAAAATGTCATAAAATCGATATTGAACCAAAACCCATCAAGTTTTAAACCATTTCACCAGTTTTAACTTAAACCAAGATTAACTCCTTCACTGTCACATTTATTCTTAGATAAACAATAAAAAACAAAAAGGCATACATTTTAAGATTTCATAAAGTAACCTGAAGCTTGAAGCTGGTAAACTCTGGTAAGTTTGAAAGGGAACACCCTTTCATCAGGATACACAAGATTTCAAACTCACATAGCAACATGAGATGAGCAGGCTCAGTGATTAACATGTTGAATTGTGGATATGCAGATTCATCATTCACTCTCCATTACCATCAAAAGAAAATTGAGTTCTCAGCAAGTTAGGGCCATGGGTGCATTATAAGGGTGATGTTCAAATTCCATTATTTGGTTAGACATGAGTAATCCATGAGTTAGTGGTGGGTGATATTAACTAGCTGCCTTCCCTATAGTCTATCATTCAATATTCAAATAATGCAGGATTATTTGAAGTGACAACTTTTCAAGATAAGACTGTAATACTGAATTATCAGAAGTGACAGATTTTCAAGATAAGACTGTAATACTGAATTATCATTAGTGACAGATTATCAAGATGAGACTGTAAGACTGAATTATAAGAAATAAGTTTTTTATGACTGGACTATAAAAATGAATTAAAAAAATCAATCTGGTAATGATTGTTTGTTTGTTTGTTTGTTAAGTTAAGCACAAAGCTACACAATGGGCTATCTGTGCTTTGCCCACCACTGGGTGCACCTTGTAATGAATATAGCTAATTAAAAATACTTTTCTTACATTCTTACTTATGAAAACTAGAATGAATTGTTTCTATAGTTGTTTGCCCTCGCTATAGATGATATTTTTGGCTGTAAAGAAAATGACAAATTTTCATGGAGAGACTTTAAAACTGAGTTATTAGAAGTTCCAACTTTCAATATAATTGTTATTACGATGTTCTCTATTTATAAAAACTCTGTGAAAATGTTAACACTTACTAACAATAATTATGTCTGAAACACAGGTTGGGTAACATTAAAGTGTTGCTACAAGATATGTTTGTTTTATTTATGTGACCACATTCAAGAGTAACAGTGAGGATTAAATAATCAACACATATATAACATAAAATGTACAGACAACAAGGGAACTGTTGGTCCACCCACTAAACAAAATAAAAAAAAGAAAAGTTCAAAGACAGCGCTTATCATTGAAATATTTATCAAGTCTTCCCTTAAACTCTCTTAATTTAACTGCATCCACCACATCTGAATGTAAAGCTGTCTTAACTGAAGATGACTCCTACCTTGTCAGAATTTATATTTGTGTCCTTAGTCCTACCATTCTCACCATTAAGCATGGAAAAGTTTATGCATCAACATCATCAAGTTCTCTAACAATCTTAAACACCTCAATCAGGTCCCCTCTTGCACTTATTTTTTTTTTAAGAGAAAATAATTTCAGTGATTTTAACCTGTCCTCATATGACAACCCTTCCATCCCAAGTATCATCCTAGTAGCCCTCCTCTGAATCCTTTCCAACAATTTTTTAAGGTAAGGAGCTTAACACATTGTGGATGGGTTACAAGTTTACTTGTGTTTCGTGCAGAGCACCTTTGTGTGCCATTTATTAAAACATTGAGTTTGAAAGGAGTTGGATGCATTTTATGTTGTTCATAACTCCACTATATTTTTTATTCAAAACTTACAGAGTATGTACATGAAGACACCTAGTAAATTTTTAAAGTGTCATATCTTGTAAAACATTTTCCTATATGGAATGGAACTGCACAAAACATGCATATGTATCATGTTTCACTTCTTTTCCAATGGGCAGTACAGACTCTGCAGGCTCTGGTAGGAAATTTCTTTTTTCCTGTAGGTGAAATGAACACAGGAATACGCTTTTTCATGTCAACAGACAGTCTTCCTGAGGGATCCTTATATAGGGCTCTTCTTGTACCTTCAAATGATGGCCCGGGTTCCTTCCTCTCTAGTTCCACTGAGCCTTCTTTCTCTTTGTCAGTCATCCATTCTTTTGTTACAGAGAGGAGCAACTGCTTGTATTTTATTTTTTTCTGTTGATTCAGGGTTTTGTAGATTATATACGAATTGAAAAGGCCGCAATTTATTAGATAAAGTACTACCTTTTTTGTCTATTTCACTGTTTTTCTGGGAATGGTGTAGTGTGAGAGGTACTGATTTGCACAATCAACACCTTTCATGTATGTATTGTATTGTATTGGAGAACACACACAGGTTTTTAAAATTTTTCTTCAGTTATTCTATTTTTCTTACCTGTGGTAGAAACAGGAGTCATAGATGGTTAAAACCATTCTCACTTCTCTCTTGTCTTTCCATATGAAAACGAGAACATCACTTTTTTCTATAAAAAGCTGTTTCATCTTTTTTTATTGTTGAAACTTCAGCCTTCAGGCTTGGCAGCAACCCTCTATTCACTCTGCTTGTTCTGCAGACTCTTGTTTTATGTTCTAGGAACAGGTTTGCAATGGATGTACTGTTGTAATAATTGTTCTGGCATACATGGTACCACAATCCAAGATTAGGAGCAAGAACTGAAAGAATAGACTCCTCCAATTTTTTCCCCTCACCAGTATAAATCTCCATGTTGTAAATACAACCTGTGTCACTCTCACACACCATTCTCACCACCAGGCCATATTTTACAATTTTTGCAGGGTTGTATGTTCAGAATTTTAGACATCCTCACCATGGAACCATGCCCTCATCCAATGATAACTGTTGCTTTGGTTTGTATAGTGTCCTGAATTTATTGAGGAAATAATCCAGTACTGGTTGAATTTTGAAGAGCCTGCCTGAAGGCTCATCCATTTTCTGATTATCATTGAAATGCTAAAATGTCCAAATTTGTTCAAATCTGTTTCAGCTCATTGTCCGCAAAAATATTGGGCTAATCAATAGACGATTTGTTGACCAATAATCTTTCCAGTTATATTTCCTTGTTTGTCCTATTAGTAGAATAAGGCCTAAGAATTTCCTCATGTCTGCAAGTGTAACTTCAGACCACTGAAGTCTTTTACATGACATTTTATGTTTCTCTGCAGTTTGATTATGGTAGGTACACATTTCCTGACAAAACATTTCAAACAAGTCATCACCAAACATTAGACCTGTCACAGCAGCAATACTTTTGGGTTCAGATGGATTTATAGTGACCCCCTGAATTTCCTTCAAACATTTCCAAGTTCAGTGGAATATATATTTCTGATCAATTATCATTATCACAATGGGAAAAAAAAAATCAACTAACAGGAACATCTGTAGAATCATCATCACTTTCTGATTCAGAATCAGTTGAGAGCACAACAACTTTATGTATCTTTGTAGATCTAACAATATCACTGTCAGAATGATCCATAAACACATCCACATCAGAATCTTCACCTTCACTTGGAAGATCTGACAAATTATCAACAAATAGTTCCGTAATTATCTCATCTTCACTCAACATGTTATGTTTATAACCATTTATAAAAACATGGGTATTGTAAGCAAAAATCAGAAAAATAATAACTGTCCGGAACAAAATAAAACGTGTCCAACTCCTTTTGAATGCAACGTTTTAATAAATGGTACACAAAGATGCTCTGCACAAAACACGAGTAAACTTGTGACCTGTATGCAATGTGTTAAGATTGAACACAGTACTTGAAATGTAGTCTAGCCAGTTATCTATACAATAAAATTATAACTTCTTTAAACTTGTATTAAATATTTCTGTAAAGAAAACCTAAAATTCTAATTGTTCAACCATTAGCAACAACACATTGTTTGGATGGCTTAAGAAATTGATCAATTAGAACATCATGATCCTTTTCTTCCATAACAGTGTTAAGGTCATTCCCATAAAAATTACAGTATAATTTAAATTATAATAACTGATGTGCATTACCTTGAATATATTATAATCGAAAGCCATCTGCCATTTATTTGCCAAACTCACTAAATAATCTAAATCCTTTTGTAAAGCAGCAGCCAGATGTCCAGAAATATTTGAAATAAGTAACTGATGTGTCAATACATGAGCAAAACAAGGGGGAGAAAGGAACTGCTTAACTGTTTTACAAACTCTGTGAAATAATTTCAGCTTTAGTTGTTGATCATCATCTTGAAACTTTAGAATGTTTACTTTTTTTTTGGTGGGGGGGAGAAGAGGCTCTACATGTTTGTGAACTTTTAAAATAGCTTAAAATTATTTGTTCCAAAAGATAACTTTTTTTTTATTAATGATGTAGAAGCATAGTATATTGACTTTCCATGGAAATGGTGCTTCAGGAGTTCACAAATTGTTACATGGAAGAATACATCTTGCCTTTGTCAAAAAACAAATTTTGACAACACTTTTTCTTGCCACCAAATTCAGTGTATAGCTATGACATCATAATGGCTCCTTATTTCGGAAATTATTTCCTGTGTGCCAAAGAAGCCTCTATTGAGTTTATAGCATTAAGACTTTAGCTATAATTCATCAAAAAAAATAATGCATTGATTTATGTACAACAGTCAGTTACTTCACACTGAAGATATGTAGTTTACATTTCATTTATTTCTGCAGTTCTACTTCATCCAAAAGGAAGAAGACCGTGGATCTTCAAAAGCTAGGACTATTTTTGGGTTCTTTTTATTGTTTATAACATTTTTTTTTTAGTATTTTCCATAAGTTTTTTGCAGTATTTTGTTTTATGTATCTATAAAGCCTCAAAACAATTTTTTGTTTTGTATATTTGTCTTTCACACACTGGTACTTCAATTTTGAATTATATTGTTTTCACCCACTGATAATATATTTTTTTTCTTTCATAATTAAAGATGTGAATCTTGTTCTTTTATAACAAATGTACTATAGATTTTAAACTGTTTTTTCATAAATAACTGTACTGAAATAAAAAAATATAATATAGATAATACAGCAATTAATAGGTATAGTTGTCATGATGTAGGGCCACAATAATTTTTTATGACATCAAATCTGTCAAGATGGTTAAATGAAAACAATTTAATACACTTCTTTTAGTTGTTTCAAATATATCACAAATCTAGATACATAATTTATACTTTTAATATTTTTTCTTGATGTTGTGATTCTTCTTTTCTTAGAAAGTTTTGATTCTTAAAGTCACTCACATCAATAACAATAATGGCAATAGTTACAAAGGCAATGTTATCATTCTCATCATCTTAGTTGGACCATGTTAACAGAAATTAAGAATTGTTAGTTTTGAACTTTTCAGGTGAAACACCAATACTTACCCTTCTTGTAAGAGGAACCTCAATGGGTACAGGTATTACACCTGCTATCAGACATCCATGGAAAGCACACATGAATGACACTGGGTCATTGTTGGGGTAGACAAGGGCAACCTTTAGGTGAAAAAGAGTCAAAATATTGTTCTTAATTCATTTAGAAAAGCAATAAGTAGTAAAATGTCTAGTTACTTTCAACCAAAAACTAACTATTCATCTCACAGAAACAGAACATACATACATAACAACAATCAATCTCATGTTAGTATGGATGGTATTTCAATCATCTAATTACTATTATTGTATTAGTACATAAAAACAAAGAAAGTTCTTGAAAAGTAGGAAAAATGTTTTTAATTTCATATGACCAAAAAAAAATATATCTATATAAAGATATCCAATTCTTTGTTTAGTATTTCTAATAAGATTCACCAGAAACACAACACTACTTTTATTAGATTACAGTACTTGAAGTGCTTTTCAGTGCTTTCACTTAGACAATCAAACTGGTAACAAATGTATGTATCAAATCAAGTTAAACGTTTCTAGTGTTATTTTCACACATAGAAAATATATTAAGTGTTACTATTCCTAATTATTAACAATGCTTGGTAAAAAAAATTAATTTAATTTTCAAATATTCAGCAATTTATCATAGTACTTAGAGAAACGTCTTTAGAATGTATTATTATTAACATTAACTAATAAAAAACTATGTGTGGCTCCTGAACAATGATACTACTTAGTTGATTTTAACATACAAAAACAGCTGTTAATAATATTAATCAGAAATAATCGAGTTTTAATACCAGGCAGAATTGTAAATTGTGTGTTGAGTAATTAAAATATCACAGAGCTAATTGCAACAAAGCAAATAGCTGACACCTATTTTTTGGACAGTTTTGAAGATGTTTTGTTGCACCAAAATAAACAGCAGTAACAAAACACAAGATTCATCTTGAGTCAGGTTGAGTACACTATCTTGATGATTATGAATTCAAACCAACTTACTCTGTCTCCTTGTTTAATTCCATCTTCCCCTTTCAGTCCTGTTTTGTTCAAAATATTATAAGCTATTTTCTGTGCACGACTTAGCAGCTTTCCTGAAGATGAAAAAAGGGGATTTTTAATTTGGTGGTGCTTTATAATGATTTAGTTCACTTATTAGAAAAGGTAAAAGACACTTAAAACTTCATAATTTTTTTCAACAAAAGTTATAAATTTTTAGTTATTTTAAAGAAATTAATGACGGAAAAAGTTAGGAATTTTATTTTAGGAAACTCAATCAAAAGGAAGTCATGCAATGTACAAAATTATATTACAACTTAGAATCTAAATAAACATATTTCATTGAAATATTATAATTCAGTAAAGTTCTTAAACCTAGAAAGCAGTCCTGAATCCAAGAGACCCAGAATAATTTTTGTTGTGCAATAATTCTATTATTATGCATATGTTGCTATGACCCTTCTTTTAGTCTTCTAAAATTTGGTGACAAATATTTTTGTAGGATAATTTTTACAAGTTTTATATTGATATGGGGGGGGGGGAAGAAGTTGAATTCTCATTACTACCTAACTGCAAACAGACCACATGGCAGCTTTCAGGTACATGTGTGATTTTTTTTTTCCTTGTTAACTGTTGTAACAAGTTTGTTCCCAGTGATTGTGTAACAGTAGATGAGCAGTTGATGACCTTTAGGAGGTGATGCAAGTTCACTCAATAAATGTCAAGCAAGCCAGCAAAGTATAGGATAAAGATTTTCTAGCCTTGTGATGCAAGAAACTGGTATGCTAGAGATGGAACTGTCTCCACTGGAAAAAAGTCTGGTGAAGAAGACCAGAGGAATCTGGAATCAAAAACTGCACAGCAGTTGTGCAGTCAACTGAGAAACACTGGTTGAAACATAAAAACAGATACTTTCATCACAAGTGTGTCCCTTGCTGAAGCACTATTCGAGAAAAGACCGATACTTGTTGGGATGCTCCACCAAAACAAGCAGACATCCCTGATTTGATGAAGGCTTCCAAGGATCAAGAAGTTCATAGTACAATGCATTACGACAAAGCAGTAGATGAACAGAGTGAGAAAAAGAAACTAGAATCACTCATTAAGTACCACGACAGGACAAAAGGTGGCATCAACATGACAGACCAGATGGTTCATACAATTTCCTGTAAGCGACAATCCAGAAGGTGATGTATGATTCTGTGGTACAATCTTCTAGATGTAGCTATCCTGAATGTTTGCTTGCTATATACATCGTATCATCCAGACTAGGGACAAGGTTTGATGTACAAGCAATGCTTATTCCTAACAGAACTTGTAAGGGAACTGGTCACGCCACACAAATAAACTGGTTGGAAGATAGTCCCAACCTTCTTAAAACTGTCATCACCTCAATGGAGAAGTGTGGTGAAACAGTGCAAGAATGCATGGCATATAGCCAAAAGCAGGGTCCACCAAAAAAGAGATGTGATCATTGTCCTTCAAAGAAGGACCTCTAAAACACCATGTCTGACATGCATGAAATGTGAACAGCATGTATGCAAGGAGCACAGTCAAATTGTGTGTAATGATTTCCTGCAGTGAAGAAGACTTTTGTGTGTGTGTGTGTGTGTGTGTGTGTGAAAAAAGACTTCATTGCTAATTTTGCCTCTTTATTACATAGCAATAAGATATGAAGAAAGAATACAAATTAGTATAGAGTGCAGAGCATTTGTATCATTGAAAATATTTTGGGTTTATATATTTTTTCTTCTTCTACTTTGTTATACATTACAAAGGGTTTTGTATGGTCTGATACACAACATTTAACAAATTATTAAATAAAGAGATCAATGAGTCATCTTTTTTTGAGGAAATATACAATATTACTTGTACGGGACTTCCAATCCCAACCACTAGAGCAGTGTAAAGTATTTCAGGACTGCATCATAGGGTTAAAGACATTACAGAGGAACCATGATAAATGGATAGTTTTATTCTGAATATGAAAGTTCTGTAATTATTGTTATATTTCACATTTAGCTATGTCCTTGTAAAGTACCCATAGAAATAAAAATATTACAGGAATGTAACAGCAATTATTACAGGTAAGAGTATCTCAAGAAATATAAAAGAAAACTAACACATCACCAAGTATAAACAGTTTACTGTTTTAGGTATCTATATAACCAGGGGTGAAAATCTGCCAGTACTCACTTGTGCTGAGTACCAGAACTTATTTTTTAATGCAGTACTTGTACCAGGACTTATTTGAGCTGCTTTGTCATTTGTTATGTTTAAACACAGATTTTTTTTTCTTTTTCAAAAAAGTCCACTTCACCCAGCTGACTACCTCTACTTTTTTGTTGTTGCAAATTTCATCCCTGTATATACTAACATAAAGAACCCATTTAGCTTGCAGCACTGTTACATATTAGTTACCATAATATTTGATGAATTTTATGTACAGTTTCAAATTTTTTCTATTTATAATTGATATTTTGAATGGCAAAACCAAGGTAGATAAGAGAAGTGAAATCTTGTAACATACTTATGTCACTGGACCAATCAGTATCACATGTATACAGATTTCTTGTGTTACTGTTAAGATTGAAAGCTGCAAATGAATAACTTAAGGTAAAACTTGTGGACTTACCATATGTCAGAGGACTTCCAATCTTGCCATTGGTATCTAAAACAGTAACTACAGGGGCTTTGAAAGTGGCAGAACCATATCTTTGAATGGCTGCTTCCAAATTTTTGGGAAGGCCAGATGGCACCTAAAATACAGTAATTTTATTTCTAATATGAATACCTGACCACTAGAGAGCTTGCTTTTGTAAGAATTGTATTTTTTGTTAACTTATGCAATCTTCAAGCTATGTATTAAAATGAAAATATACAATAGTTTGAAAATTTAATACCAAAACATACACCAAAATGTATTCAGAGCCTAAAATTATTATTATTAAAACATAAAAGCTTTCAAATATAATTTTATATGAAGAGTAGTGATTAATTCTTATTATTGATCAAAAGGATATTTTCAGGTAATAAAAAGAATATGGGTTATATGAAACATTATACATTGACCTGAGGGGAGGGGAGTCATAGCCATCCCTTGATTTTTTCCTTCTTACATTGGAAATACTTAACCAAATTGCATGAAAATTAGTAAGAGCTTTTTAAATTGTACCTAGTTTCAGTTTGCAAAAATCATGTAATTCAATTTACTTTTTCTATAATGTTCACATTGTGAAATATGCCAAAGTTTTTATGAGCCAATATTTGAAAAACAATATTAAAACATCCCTTTCCTCTTAAAATTTAATTTTTTAGTGTTCACCATAAAGTTCCAATTGATATGTACAATCAGAATGATATTCATTAACATATTTATTTTGATACTTTATTTTGTCAATTGCTGGTTACAATTCATAATAAAAATGGCACAAACTGACTAAGATTTATCAGTGACCTACAATCTGACCAGTCACAATGACATCAGGTAAGGCTATGTAACAATGTTAATGCTAACAATATTCTTGGTAAAGATCAATTTATATCCAATAAATATGGTTTCTTTTCAATAGATTGAATTATTTTATTTACATACATTGTTTTAATACAATAAACTTAATAATAATATTCATTAAATATGGATATAATGAATATTATTATTAAGTTTATTGTATGTTTGAGTCACTGGAATATTCTGCTGTTACCTTTTGTACTTACTAAACCTAACTAGGCTTACCTGATGTCCTGTCATACAAAAAATTTTTCATAACCTTCAACAAATATAATTTAACACAAAAAAAAATTTAGAAACAAACAGAACATCTAAAGAAACTGGCAAAATTTTCCAGATCAGTGGTTTATTCCAAAGTCCCACTAAGTTCCATTCTTCTTCCAAGCAGGAGCTACATCTAATCACTTTCCCATGAAATGATAAATTACTTCTCATACTACTTTATTCACTCTACATTTCTGTAAGTAGTTAATCTGACTATAAATACTGTTTACAATTTGCCTGTAACTTTTTTGAAAGCTAAGTTTCATTAATACTTGTTCAAGCTTCTGCAATGAGGTCATAAAAGGGTGGGTATGTTTTTGTTTTTTTTAAGAACTGAGAGATTGCATTGAAGAAATTTAGACAGAGGAGAAAACACCAGTGAGAAACAATATGTATATTTATATTCTCAATGGATGATTATTTCCTAGCAAATACAAAGCTATGCTTTGGGATGGCATAAAAAGTTCTGACTAAAATCAATAATAGAGTTATTTACAGATGAAAGTTCTCACAGCAGTGCAGAAATGTCTGGTGCTTTTCTTTGCAAATTACATCAAATGAATGCTACAAAATGATAAAATATAATTCCAAAATATTTTCAAATAAAAAAAGGTCTTGAAATAGGCTTTAGATTATTAATTTTACTTAAATTTTGAAAATCTGATATGCATGTTCACACTAGATACCCGAGAGGGGTTCACCAGTCTAGAAAGGGTTAGAGCTCACAAAAATGTCATAATTTGTAAAATCTAAAAACATGCATAAACTGCATGACTAGCTAATTCTTACTCATTATAAGTTTTTTTGCAGCATTGACAATCAACTACTGCTACTTACCATAAGCTGTTCACCTAAATGAGGGTTCATTGTGCTTCCTTCTGGTTGAGGGGAATTTGGGTGGAGTTGGTTAGCTGAAACTAATCAAAGTTACTTTTATCTGACAATTAACATTAAATGATTAGCTTAAAATAAGTACTAAGCAGTGACACTAAATTATTAGCTCAAACTAATTAGTGCCTCCATATTTTACCAGATAGTTAAAACTAAATGATTAGCTGAAGCTAATAAATGTTACTATGTGTTATCTCATGGTTAACACTACATGGTTAGCTAAATCTAACCAATGTCATTATACTTTACCTCATACTTAACACTATATGGTTAGTTAAAACTAAGTAGTGTTACTTCATATGCAGGCATATCATACATTTTCTACCTGCTTTAAGTTACATAGGAAATAACTTCTTTTTTTGTTTATCTAGTTTCTATGTAGTTTTGACACAAACACATGATCCAGAAAACCACTGAAGTTGCCTTGTTTTAATTGCTTTATTCCTTTATTCTCTACAGTAGATAACATATATTCTACCCAAAAGGATATTGCAGTAATGAAGCAGATCCATGATGAAAAAGTCATTGACTATAATATTCTTTGCTGGCTGAATGGATGATGTTTACATGTTACAAAGGCCACAAGGACTAGACAATGAAACCAAGGTTACCTGTTATATTGAAGCTTAAATTCTTAGTTCACTTCTATCTGAAGATCTACAAGTTCAGTTCTTTTTTGGATATTACATATTTAGCTCTACAGAGGTCTATCATGAGAAAGAGAAAACTACAGACCTAATCATGATCTGGTAGAAGCAACATTCTTATTGTCTGTGCCAGTAAGCAAATTGCATTTTATTTTTGCTTAGCTGTAATAAAAATTGTTTACTTTATTTGAAACTTGCCCAGTCTCATTGTTTCACACACTAGAAAACTCAGTCAAGTTTTCAAATACAGACTACTAGTCGACCCTGCTGTTATTATCATATCTATGTGATATTTGTGTGGAAATCGGTTTTACCTAAAAATATCCCACTACTATACAATTAAGTCATAGTTGACACTAATCAGTTAGCTGAAACATAGTGGTGCACTACAAATTACCTCATAGTTAACATTTAACTGAAATTAAGCAGTGTCACTACACTTTATGCCATAGTTAATACTAAATGGTAAGCTGAAACTAAGCAATGTCACTACACTTTACCTACAATTTAACTCTAAGCATTTTTAATGAGTTTTCCACAATGTAAGATAGTAACAAAAATGCTTCTTGTTATTCAGAACACTGCTTAATCACAACAAAATATCTTTCTGTTAATACTTGAATGGTTTTACTCATGTCATCTATCTTAACTTCTAATATGGGTGTTTAAGATGTTCAATTACTCTTATATCTAGTAGTAGTAATGGTTGGAACTTTTATAAAACTTGTTGTTATTCAGATACACAAAAATTAGCTGCCAGTCTTGTAAAACCAATGACTATTTTACTATTTGTAACAACCCATTTTTCTTTATGCTCTTGGAATAATAATAATGTAGCAAAAACCTGATCTGCATGTGACTAGCAGTAGCATAAGCCTTCCCTGAACACTTTGAAATACTGTATACCAGACATTTAAGTAGCTTTATGCTTGAAGTTAAGACTTAAGTCCTAGAACACTTAACCCTCCCTTCAACAATAATAGAGCATGAAGGAATTTGTGTGGGTGTGTCTAAAGTCTTGTGCGGTTTTAACAACAGGAAATTCAATTACTTCACACACAAGTTCAGCATTCTTAAATCTTGTTATTTCTTACTACTTTAAGAATTTTAAATGTGAATCATTCACACTGTTGTAAAAACTAATATTCAATAAAATCAAATGTTCAACAAATGAAAGATTATATAATTTATAACATTCTACCTTTACAAAACTACCAAAAAACTAAAATCCAGAACTACTTATAACTATTGTTAAGTCCATTTTTAGTTTAGAATGTAATAAAGGAAATAGTTTGTAACTTTTTAGATATGACTTAGAAGCTTACTAGTTTTTCAAACCTGTTTCATAAAGTTACTCAATTTTCTAAACTTGCTTTACAATTTTATAAGATTTATGTTCTACATATTCATTCATTTTCTTAGTCAGTTTTACTTCCAAGCTCCTACCTCTTAGACCACGTTCACAACTTTTTTACCTCTACAAGCCTATAACTTTGTATAGTTACTTCTTAATCTTTAAATCTCTGATGTTTTTACACATTTTTTAGATCTTTTTCTCCCATTAGCAACATTTATGAATCTGCTGGATAAATATACTCACTCTCTAAGTGTGTTTCATCATCCACATAGAACTCTGGTAAAGGTTTTCTTTTTGGCCGCTGAAAATAAATAATATAAAATTCTGCAGATTTTCTTTTTTGAAGAAAAAAGTTGGATTCTGGTTAAATTTAAAAATTGTATTTGTCTATTTATTTTCCTTTTATAAGGCTATAAAAAAAGACTAAAGTCATAATGCTGAGGTCTTTAGTCTTTAGAATTAAATAGCAAAATTGGCATTTGTCTTCATTCCTGGTTTTAATTACTTTTTTAGTATAAAAGAACACATATATAGCTAAAAATACCTCACTTAACTTGGTAAACTGGGACAATACATAAAAAATTGACATGAACTATGAAATGGCTTTGTTATGTAGAAATAAAAATTAATTTTGTTACCTTTAATGTGTTGAGCAGTTGCTGAATTTTGGATGAAACTTTCCATTTACCAGTTCCTAGGGAGAAAACATCTAATTAATTAAATTATTAAAACTTCTTTTTGAAATTATATATTTTCTAATAATAAATCAAAATACTATTATAAAACTGAGAGTTAAAGCAACCACATAAAAAATAACAAGAAGGAAGACCATTAACTACTTAATGGGTTTTGAGTTTTCAAACTCACACAGAAAAGAATACATTGTGTAATTCAAATCCAAATAGCTGACACTTAGTAACAAAGTATTCACCCTGAATAATCATCAGATATTCCCACTGGGGATTGTGTGAAACTTTAAAAGGAAGATATGTGAAACTCATTCAAAAATGATGTGACACTCCCACTGAGAGATTATGTGGAATTCTTGCTGAGGAATGTGTGATGTTTACAAAAGGAAAGATTATATGACCAACTCATTTAAGGATAATGTGATATTGCTAAAAAGAATGATTATGTGACACTCCTACTTGTGGTTCATTTGACAGTCCCACTGGAACATTACGTGACACTTCAATGGATGTGCTAAAATTATACAATATATGGTCTTTTAACTCAGCTGTTCAATCCCAAAAATATACACAGTAGATTTAGGATGTGTTTATCTTCCTTATTAATATCAATTTACAACAGAAGCAGCAAAAAACAAAGTGAAAAATAACAAACATATAATCTAGCAGATAAATACTATAAATAATTTTTTTGTTACAGATTATACAAAGTAAAACTACTTTAGCTAATTACTTCATGCATTGCCTTAAAAACGAAAGGAAGCATTATTTAGTAGATTAAATTAAGGAACAATATGTTTTTCTTCTGTTATTTATTTAAAAAAATTAAATACTTCCACTTATTCATAAGGTACATAACTTTTCTTTAAATGCCACAGTTCAATATAACAACACATACACATCACCAGTTTCCAAGGGCAGGTACAGTCTGTTAACTGTCTGCAGCAACTCACCTGTATTGTATTCTAAGCCTGTAGCTGAGTATTGTGTCATACGCACTGAAGACATATGAGCCTGGTTATAGCTATGTAACTGGTCTCCTTGACTTCGAAAATCAGTGTTGCTAGTGAGATCTGGTTGAATACTCAAATCTAAAATGTATATAATTTTTCACTCACAAAACACACTCACCAACATGGTTTGTTAGCAGTTTTTAACTGAAAGTTAAACTCATGGATTTTGGGATTTTAGACTTCACTTTTTTTTCTGATAACATTAAAAGTACAGTTGTGAAAGTATTTCAGCATCATCTGTTTACTATAAGACTATGAGCTAAGAACATTAAGTATCAGAATTTTTAATTGTTTTATGATTACAAATAGAGAAACTCAGATTTTTCATAGTTCAAAATAATTATGTTGAAATAAATAAATAAAATAATGTTGTTTTTAATTATTCTAAATATGAACTTCAGATAAGTTACATGACTAACACATTTAGGGAAGAAAATGGAAAAAAAATATCAGACACACAAAATCTTTAATAACAGAGGCTAATTTCTTTTTGAACAAAACACATATTTCACAGACACTTTCGAAAGAAGGGGAGATATGTGATACTTCCACTGGTGATTAAATGACAGAGATACATTACTAGAAATTTCAGATTCAACAATACCAAGAACTATCTCTTTGTTTTAATATTCATTAAAGGAAGAAAGGGGAGGTTTTCAAGTTTTTTAAATAAATTTATAAACATTTCTGTAGTCAGGTTATACTCAACTTATTGGATGGTTAAACAAATATGATCATGTCAAAGGTTCATCTGCATTGAAACACTTACACATATATCATGTGACATTTCAATAATGGCTACCACATACTTTATTGGGCTTTACATTTGTGGGGTTAAGTTTATGAAGAAATCAAGATACTGACCAAATTAGCAGATATTGAAGGTACACTAATGTACCATGTCCAAAGTTATTAATCCTTATCTTTTTTTTTTCTGATCAAAGAAAGCTATATAAATAAATCAAAACTAAAAATCAGCCCAGTATTTAATTTAACTATTTCAATATACTACATGTCAGATTGTACCCCCAGGATCTGATGAAAGGGATGAGAACACCTTTCTTGTTCAGGTGTACTGCCCTCATTCAGAACACTATCTGATGAGGAGTCTGAAGAAGTAAATAACAATATAATGAAGACCTAATGGTAATGAGGAATATGTAATGTAGTAAAACAAAAACATTAACCATTAGACTGCATTCAATCATCAACTGAATGCCCGTACTGTTGTGAATATTTTCATTAATAACACCTACACTAAGAGTGAGGATTACAGAACAATGGCTGATCATTATTGGTTTTTATTTCATCAAAACCTGCTTTCAACCAATTCCATTACATGCTTCCTCATACTGCTGAATAAAATTGAACAGTAATTTAATTTCATATCTTTTGATAAGAGTATTGTAAGAGTACAATAAGATGCACTTTCTATGAACAAAATATTTAGGATTACATCTTCGTTTATATTAATTTTGTTTCATTTGTTTGTTTGTTGTTAAGCTCAAAAGGTTATCTGTGCTGTGCCTACCACAAGGATAGAACTCTTAAATTTAAGCACTACATACTTTCGAGCTTACCAATCACCATCAGGAGACAAATGAATTTTGTTTGCACAGCCATAACGTGACAGTTATGTTGACAAGAAAATCAACCTTAGTTTAGCCCTAGTGTGTGTCTAAAAGCCCGTACAACAGAACATCAGCAATAAATAACAAATACTAGACACAACTGAGCCAGGAATGAGTAGTCCTCTTTAATTATAGAGAAAAATGTAACCCTTCAATGCCTCTGTCTGTTTCTAGGGGGAGAACTGTATGATTAAGGAACATAATTTTTTTTTTAGTCATGAATATTTTTTAGAATAGTCATTTAAGTTAAATAGCTGCAAGTATATCTTGAAAAATAAAACCATACAATCTGAACAGAAGTAAGAAGAAGTAAGAAACTAAGTAAAGGAGAGAGAAGAATGCATTTTCATACTTTAGACTTAAAAATCAAATATTTCAAGATATGTTAACTTCACTCTAAAAATCCACATTATATTGAAGAACATGTGTCATTTTTCACTCTATGTCCTCAGTCTTATTTCAACATTTATAAATCAATTAAACCGAAGTTTACAAGCTAGCAGTGAGAGTTCCCAACTGATGACTTAGGGCACAGTGGTCATAGAAGCGTTTTTATAATTTGTCTCTCACTTATAATTAAGACTATTTATTATAAATTGTAATTATTGTATAGAATTTTAGCAGCACTTGTGCTTTAAGTTATTACATAACTACTAACTAGGTGTAAGATTCTGCATCACATCTGCAAGATTTGTCACTCCTTCATGTCGACTACCACTACGTTCCAACTCAAAACCTCCTCTACTGCTATTGTCAAAGCGAATATTTGTTTGACGAGGGGGAGGAGTTTCCCTGGCTGAGGAGGTACTGGAAGTGTCAGATTGTACCCCCAAGATTTGATGAAAGGGACGAGAACACCTTTCTTGTTCAGGCGTACTGCCCTCATTCAGAACACTATCTTCATCTGATGAGGAGTCTGAAGAAGTATATAATAATATAATGAAGACCTAAAAATGAGGCTAAAGAAATAAACAGGTTCTAGCAAAAACATCAATAAAAACAGTTTTAAATAATCAACTGAAATCAAAGATTTGTCTGCAAATTTAAAGAGAAAAGTACAATACATAATGTTCTTAAAACACTTTTAATAAATAAACTTCTAAGAATAATTAGTTATTATAACTTCAAAATAATCAACATTTAAAAATTAAGGACAATTTGCAATCACAATTATTAATGCTAGAAATTCATTTGAAAGATCTTTCTACCATGCTATATTTTTGTGAACACAACACAAAAGTGACAAAATGTGATGTACCAACACTGAATAGGCATACCCTGTTCACCATGAATAACACATTACAACATCTAAGTTGGCTGTTAATGTTTTAAATAAATCTTTTTTATGTTTTCCAGTAATGATGCAGGTCCATGAAAAACACATTATAACAACTAAGCTGGCTGTTATAGTGTTAAATAAATCTCATTTAACAGTAATGATGGAGGTCCATGAATAATATATTATAACAGCTAAACAGGTTGTTAAATTGTTAAATAAATACTTTTTTTACAGTAATGATGGAGGTCCAAGAATTACACATTTTAACAGCTAAAATACTTGTATGTGTTAAATAAATCTCTTTTTTTTACAGTCATAATGGAAGTCCATGAATAACACAATATATCAGCTAACTGTTAATATGTTAAAATAATTATATTATTACAGTAATGGTGAAAGTCCATGAAAAGAGCTGTAAATAAATAAAAACTTGCTTTACAAAATTATCAACTACACAACTAAAACTGACACAAATAAAACAATTAAGCATGTTGTTCATATAGCTAATTTTAAAAATAAGAACAAATTCACACTTTGAAAACAAAAATGTTGACAAACTCTTTTTAAAGCACAGTAAGTACAGTTATTAAATAATCTGAAGAAAACTGTTCTATTAAATAAGTAACTTTCTGACACACTGTTGTACTAAATATTATTTAGTATTAAATCTAGCTGTAGTCAATGACATGAGCCATGTATGATATGATTAATGAAAATCCACATTAAATAGAACAAACTGTAAGAAGTTTTGATATTAGAAAAACTAGTTCTGACACATTTGTACATCCTGTATGTAAGACTGAAGAGGATGCACTAATGTGTCCAAACTAGTTTTTCTAATGTCAAGACTTCTGACAGTTTGTTACATTTAGTGTGGTTTTTCACTAACTGCTACACACAATATTGTGTTCTTTTATTATCAATATCATGATTAACTTCCACTATTTTAATATTAAAATGTCAACCTGATCGATGTCTTTCTCTAGAAGGTGATGTGGCCATTACAGAGGTTCTCTTGGAAGGCATTGGGACAGATGGTTTGCCTCTATTCTGCATAGCAGCTATGGCCTGCTGAACGGCCTCCTGTCTGACTTCTAAGAATACAAGATTTATTACAAAAAAAGCTGGAAAAATTTAAATGGAGAAATAAATTAATCATAGGAGTGGATTTTAAAAAGAGAGAGATGAAATTTCTCCTCAGATTCATTATAGTTCCTGAGAGTTCCTAGTTAATATGGAAATCAACAATCAGTACTAAGCTGTTTTACATAAATAAATTAATCTATGTTTTAGCATGCATGATAACTTTAGCTGATACATTATCAAACACTGGAAAACCTCAAGTTGACAAGAGTGACCTAAATCAATTACTGCTTTTAAAATTTGCCAATCAGGACAAAATTATGCTTATGAACATTTTTACTTTCTTTTGTAGTTCAAACAAATCATCATCTCAAATATTAATTAAAAATCATTAAAACACTTCCATTTAGTAATATAAAAATGAATAAAAAAACTTTTCAGACGTTTATAGTGGATTGTCTCAGAGGCAAGCTCCATCAATATTAAAACTGATTAAATGATAATGTGTTTGGTTAAAAAAAAAAGCAAAACACTAGACCAGTGGTTCCCAACCTGTGATCCCCGGGCCCCTGGGGGTCTGTGAAGATAACACGATCTCATTAAACAAGCAAGTTTCTTAATTCTGCTGTTCTTTTAATTGTACACTCGGTTATAAATGTCTTTTATTTGATAGTGAAAAATGGAAAAACAAGTTAATTATTAGTAAGAAAAACAGTTTGTTGGGTAGTTGGAATCTTTTAAAGAACATGGGGGGGTGGTCCTTGGTGGTGAAAAGGTTGGGAACCGCTGGACTAGACAATAATAGA